CTCCGGCCCGGCCGTGGGGGGCCGCGACGGTGGGCGGGTGAGACGCCCAGCCCCTTTCGGTACCAGGCGCGCTCACACAGAGAACACGAGCCGTCGGAAAGCGGGACCTGGACGTCGTCTGGAAAGCCACCGCCTGGATTGCCACTTCGGGACGCGCCATTGAAGAGGAAGAGATTTGTGCCAAAAGATGGAAAGCGAATCCGTTGATTAGCCACTGCCTCTTTCAGGTGGTCCCTGTACATTCTTTAAGGGACGCTGTTGCAGCAGTGCACAGAAAACGTCCTTGGTACGGGCTGGCATTGGGCCTCATTGATGGAGGCAGTGGTACTTGGTGGGTTCTTGCTCAGTTCTTTGATTCTGAAACTTGTGGAAGCTTCTGACTTTCCTCTTCAGGGTTTTAACAATTGTCGGTCATCAGCAGCGCTCGACAAGTCATTGAATCTACTCGCCACGTTTCTTCCGGTCGCCCCATTCATCGGCGGCGCGCGCATGTGCAATGCGGGTCTTGCGCATGCGCACTGCGGGGCTGGTGAACAGATTTCGCCACTGTTTGTCAAGCCCTGGTCATCAGGATCTTGAGAAACTGAAGAACTTCTTGTCACCTGGAACTAGAACACTCATTCTTAAGCTGATGATAATTGAGAAACTGTTAAGTTTATTTAGTGGGATGAGGAGGCCAGAAATTAAGTGTTTGGGAATTACTGAGAAGACCTGTGTGACTAATCTTCAGAGCCCATGTGTCAGGAGGTATGGTTCAGGAGGAGAAAGTTCTTCAGTCTTCCTGTTGAGTTGATGGGCTCCTTGGCTGGCAAGATTTTGCTGTATAGAAAAGACGCTTCCACCTGTTGCCTGATGCAAGAAAAGAGATGAAAGATTTGGCAACCCTGGATTTGTTGGAAGTTGTGGTGACTGAAATTTTCCCTTGAATCCCTGAAAGAGCATTGGTTGGGCAAGAGCTCATTTAAGTCTCAAAAATTCTTTGGTGTCTTTTTGAGGGATCCCATGAAAAGTGTAATTTCACCAAAAGGCGTTTCAATGACAGAGGTGATGGTCACAGGAAAGTATCTTGAAGAGCCTGCGGTCATGGCACTGTTTACGTTGATTGAGAGAGAGAGACCCACAATTGGTCAGTTCAGTCCAGTCAGTAGTCAGGAGTTCTTTTGGATTCCTCACTAACATTGATTGAGCTCTCACTTGTCAGTATCTGCAAGCGGTGCTTACTTCTGTGTCTGCTTAGCTAGGGAAACTCTGTCCCATCTAGATGGACAAAGAGCTGCTAGTGCAGAAGGCTACAGCACGTCAGCAGCAACACAGACATATCACATCTGTCCTCTGTCCTCTATGCTGGCTTCCCATAGAACCAGCAAATCAAGGTTTCAGTTGTTACCTTCAAAGTGCTCCTTGGCCTGAGCCAAGTACCTAAAGGATTGTCTAAAACTCAGAGGCAAAGAGCATGGTTAACAGCTCTGCTCCTGTAGCACTGTAGAAATCTCAACAATAAGAGTAAAGCTTGTCTGTGCAGGAGACCGATTTCTTCAGAGGTTGTCTGAGATGCTGGAATGAGCTACCCCAAGGATGAAGTACCACCACAAACCTCACCATTTTCTGATTCAAGGGCAAGACCCATCTCTTTCATCTAGCCTTCTCCACTCTTTAACAACATATATTTATATAAAAAAAGCCGTAGGGGTGGAAGCAGACACTACTGAACAATCATACTTCCCTGAACACGTTTCTCCCTCTAGGGAGAGGATGAGAACAAATAACATATGACAGTAGTCACATCACGCAGCATGTTACTGGAAGGCATTCAGATGCTATTGAGATCCGTGCATTGTAAAAGCATATAGAATGAGATTGACCTAGTAGGTCTATGTCCAAAGCGCTAAGCCAAGCTAGAATGTTTCAGAAAGAGTCCTGCTAGAAAACTTAGCAATGATGTAGATTGTTATATAGGAAACAGAGTGCTAACTGGTCAATCTTTAGCTTTTTCTTGACTTTTGTGGGCAGTCTTAGATTTAGGATGTTGCATGGAGTGTATAATAAAGATGTGAGCAAAAACAGGTGGTGTAAAATTGTTTTGTAGGACAGTGAGCAGATATTCAGAGACCCTTTCCAGTGAGTTTTTAAACATGTGGCCCACAGAATCCTTAATGGTTCTTTTCCTTCCACTGAGATTAGAAAGTTCGTGTGCTGGAAGCAGTCTTAAGCTGAAAGAAGGGAGGCTCAATCTAAGGGCAAGGAGGACTGGATTTTCCTAGCTGTACTTGGTGTAGCTTTTCTGTAGCTCTGCTCTTAGATATTTTTTTTTCTCTGGATTAGGGATGTTATCCGGTTAACTGGCAAGCATCACCCTAAAAGGCTAATGCTTATTGGGTCGTCTTAACCAGTAGGGTGCTGGAGCAGTAAAGCCTCCTGCTCAGGAGCCGCTCTTACATGCAGAGCTTACCCATTTGTGTTGATAACTTGTGTGAATGTTTATGATAGGGATGTTAAATTGCGTTTAATCAACTAATTGACTAGTGGCTCTTAATACATTTAAAAAGCAGAGGCGCAGCATCCAGTCTCCTGCTACGCCTCTGCTTCCCCTCTTCCCTGTGGAGATAGTGCTGGGGGGAACCAGCTTTTAAACCAGTTCACCCCAGCACTGGCTCCTGCTCGTAGGGTGGGAGGAAGGGACTAGTCAAGTCACTACTCAATTATCTGATAAGCTTATGCTTATCAGATAGTAGACTAGTCGTTTACATCCCTAGTTTCTGATAGTTGTATGATTCTTAAGATGGAGAGCATGGCTAGGACTTTGCATTCTCACTCATTGCTGGTTAAAAATCTAAACAGAACGTATCTATTGATTTGGGATGTAAGGCATTTGGTAGTTGAACTAGGGATGTTGTTTCATGGAAACAGCTGTGCTTGCTTTGGGTAGATACCAGAATTTCGTCTTGACTGTCAGAAGTTATCTTGTTTCCTCTTGATTATAATAGCAGTCGTGTTTGGCTCGCATGTTTAACACCAACAAAAGATGGGAAATAAAAAGATGATTGTTTCAGGCTTCCAACAATGTTAGAAAATTATTATAGTACCCAAAAGTGTGCTAGGATATTTTTGTCTTGGGGCTCTCTTGCAATTGACATCTAGATGCTACCACATTTTTCTAGTAGTATACAAACATAGTGATAATCTCTGTCCCAAAGAGTTTATAATCTAAATAGACACAGGGTAGGGCACAGAGAGGTAAAATACAAACGGTGAGAACCCAATGATGGTTTGAAAATATTAGTGCCTTGGGATTTGGGGGGGGAGGCAGAGGGACAGGGAAATTGTGATTAGACGGGTTGAAGTTAACAGAGGAAGGGAGGAGGGAAGTGAAGGAGGAGGAGTGGGGAATGTAGATGGAGTGAGATTTAATTGACGAGACCATAAGGGTGGGGTAGAGCAAATGGCTAATCAGCAAAGTTGAGAACGTTCAGAGGCAAAACTAGAAAACAGATTATGTCTGCACTACATACCTTGTGGTATATAGGGTAGGCTGTGTGAAGCTGCACTGCAGTGTCCATGTGTCAGTGAAGGCTCTGGCAAGGAGAGCAGAAGTGAAAAGCTTGGCTGTGCTACCTCCCCACTGCCAGAATATTTCTTTGCCACAGAGAAGGACCCCCAGCTGCAGGACAGGTGGGGCTTGGGCACACAGAGAGCCATGTCGGGTACACAAGTGTGTACATACCCACAGAGTTCAGGTAGATCGTTACCTAAGCAGTGCCTCTCTGTCTTCAGTGCTAGGGATGCATGTCGTCTATGTACTCTATGCATACCAAAAGGAGTGTGTAGTGTTGACGTACCCTTTAGATGACAACATCAGTGTCTAATAGTGCCAGGTGCAACTGCTTCTCTGTTTGTTGCCAGCTGAATCTTTATTCATGCAGCTTCCCCGGAGCCACATGGTTGGGGAAGGGATAGCGCTAGTGATTCTGATCTCTCAACTCGCTGAGTGTGCACGCCTGCTGCCATTGAGCACCTCTCCTCTGTTTTTTGTGAAGGTGGAGGACAGTGTTTGGCTGACTTGATCTGTACCATTGGCCTGCAGTGCTACTGCTGACAAAGTGGTGGTTTGGGTCTTTTCTGGGAGGGTGGTGAGCACTGTAGTCTAGTGCCCTGAAGCAATCTCCCATGTCTACCTAAGGAATTGGGGGTGCAACGGGAGGGAGCACTTGAGAGGAAGCATATGGGAGAGAGTGTGCCATGAATAAGAAAATATTTGGAAATGCTTTGAAAAATATACAGTTAAAGATAACATTTAGTGAGAAACATGTTGAAGTATATAAGCATTATAAAATTGGTTCTATAGTGGGGTTGAAATAATGCTTAAGATGTAAGCATTTAGGGTGGGAATTTTAAAAGCATTTAGCATTCGTGTAATTCTAATGAAACTTCCATTTAACTTTGAATAAGTCATAATTAGGTTCAACTACAAATTCAAATATTATTTCTATGCTAGTCCTTTAAAAAATGCTGACGCTTTTAATGGAAAATTAGTGAATGTTGTATAACTTGCACATCTTTGCAGTGGTCTTATTACTAGCTGGATCCTATTTGGTGGCCCTTCCTTGCTACCATATAGTTATGATTGCATCAAGACTTCTGATTCAAGGTCGACCTTTTGAAATCCTCTAACATCATGTTTAGAGTCAGATTATTTGGAAGTTTTGGTGTGCTTCAGAAGGATGTAGAATAGGGTTAGTGACCCACATTTGGGGGCATCTGAGATAAGTTCTGGAGATTATATGCTCTGGGAAAAAGTAGCCATTTTCCAAAAAGTTCTTTTTTTGTTTGATTTGTGTTTTTTGCATTGGTCTGGAGATTAAACTATGACACCATTTGCACCCCCACCACATCCAATCTCTCAGGTTTTACTTATAAGGTAGCACACGACACCCACCAATCTTTGGGACATCCAACTATAGAATGGTATTTAAGAAAATGCACATTTTCTGTACTGGTGCGTGGATGCTTTGAACAATGACTAGAGGTTTTCCATTTCCAGTATTTATTGTTAACTTTAAAATCAATTTTCTCTCAAGCTCTAAAATTCATATTCTTTATCAGATTGCCTTACAAGTGATGAGGCATAGAGTGTGATTAGCGATCTACATCTGGGGCCATTTAATTGATACACAAACTGTGGGGGCAAATACTTTTCTTAAAGTTGACACATCCTGGCAATGCTTCTGTGTTTACAGATAGAGCTCCAGCCAGGTCTCAGATCATTGCGTGTCCGAGAGCCTGGTGCAATGATTTACCCCAAGAGAGTGCATGGCACTCACAGGCCTTTGTCAGAAATCACATTAAAACATTATTTCAAAAGGAGTTTGCTTTACCAGTTAGGTGCATTAAGGCTCATAAGTCTGTTCACACACCTAATGCATTATGCTGAGCATGCGGAAACAGAGGAGTTAATAGGCTTGTTAGCCTTCAAAGTTTCCTAGCAGGTGGATAGCTCAAGATGACAAAGTCGTCCTTTGAACTTGAACTACCTGGAGATTATGTGGGTGTGTAACTTACCTGTGTATTTCCTGGTTTTCTGAAATGTTGGCTTTGTGGCACTCAGTGTTTTAGAGGGACGAAAGATGTCACCAGGCAACTTTGTCTGTCTGAACTATGTGTTTTGCCATCCAAGGTGCTTTAAAGCTCCACTCTTGAACGGCTCTATTATCAGGTGATGTGGATTGTTTGGAAATTTGATGTGCCTTGTGAGGCTATGGGCAGATCCCTACAAGCAAATAGTGCAGAGAATTATCCAAATGTGGAGTCGTTTGACTGAAGAGTTACCAGGGTACAAGCCTCCCTACCAAAACTGCAAATGCATCAGTGATTTGTGTCCTGGAACTGTGATTAAAGCGTTCTTTAATTTGGCTAAGCATCTAATAATTGCTATAGTGACAACATGAAAGCTTCAGGGGGTGGCTGAGTTACTCTGTAGCAGGAAAAACTTAAAAAACAACAAATAGTCTGGTAGCACTTTATAGACTAACAAAACATGTAGATGGTATCATGAACTTTCATGGGCACAGCCCACTTTTTCAGATGACTGTAGTGTTTGAAGTCCAGAACCAAGAATAAATAAGGTGTGTGTGTGGGGAGGGGGGGGGAGGGTA